CTTTTAGAGCCGCTCCGACGCCCCTGATAATACATTAAAGATTCAATCAGAGGTTTTCCTAGGAGTTTATATAAATATCCCTTTATGCCCGCGACAAACTGGGAAATATTGTTGCGCAAAGATATTTATCATATTATTCAGTATCTTACTGATGTTTCGGTATTTTATATTGTCTTACCAGCGTCGGCAAACGGAGAAAGAGTGTTTCATCAAATGTTTCTAATTTGGTAGGAAATATTTTGTTTTCCAGGAAGCAAATTTTGTTTCTGCAATAAAAGCCAATGTTACCAGACGTCAAGCAAGTTTGGTTGGCTGATGACTCAGCAGGGGGAGGAACGATTGCAGCGCTTTATAGTTGGTATCGTTATCTGTGTGAAGAAGGCTTGAAGTATGGATACCATGTAAACGGTTCTAAGAGCTGGCTGATTGTTAAATCACAACTTCTGGCGTCAGAAGCAGAACGGGTGTTTGGAAGCGAGGTTAAAATAACAACTGAAGGAAGGCGTCATCTGGGCGCAGTTATTGGTTCTACAAATTACAAAGAAGAGTACTGCAACGAAAAGGTCAACAGATGGAGAGAAGAAATCGAAGCACTAAGTGATATTGCAAAAAGTCAACCTCATTCAGCCTATGTTGCTTTCACAAAGGGCTTCAAATCGAAGTTTACATATTTTATGCGAACGATAAGCTCCTTTGAAGATTATATTAACCCTATCGAGGAAGCCATAAGTGAGTTGTTTTTCCCAGCCTTGTTCGGCCAAGAAGAGCCTCTGCCAGAAGAATTGCACGAAGTTATCACACTGTCCCCTCCACAAGGAGGTTTAGGGATACCTGCATTAAGTGAAGAAGCGCCACAACAGTACGCAGCATCGACGTCAATAACACGTCCACATGTGGAGGCAATATTATCGCAATGCACTTCCATGCCAGAGATCACTAACGAGATAAAAAACGAACAGCAGTCAATCAAGAGGGCAAATGCCAATGCAAAAAGAGAACGTATCGACGAGTCTCTCCCAGCCGATCTCCTACTTTTTGTTAAACAAGCGCGGGATAAAGGAGCAAGCTCATGGTTAAATGCTATACCGGTTGAAGAACAAGGTTTGACCCTCAACAAAGAAGAATTTAAGGATTCGATAAGAATGCGGTATGGCATGCCATTGCCTGACTTGCCAAGTCATTGCGTTTGTGGGTCTGCATTTTCCGTCAACCACGCATTATCGTGTAAAAGAGGAGGTTTTGTGGTCCGAAGGCATGACGGTGTTCGTGATTTACTGACCACGCTGCTCAGCAGAGTATGCAACAACGTGGAAGCCGAACCGAAAATCATGCCATTGGACAATGAACAATTCCGTTTACAGTCCACCAACAGAAGCCCGGATGCGCGATTGCATATCAAAGCTGGCGAGTTTTGGGCAAGAGGAGTTACATCATTTTTTGACGTCCGTGTATCGCATGTAAACTCCCAATGTCATCAAAACAAAGCCACATCTGATATCTTTAAGGAACAAGAAGCCGAGAAGAAAAGAAAGTACCAACAGAGAATCTTAGACGTGGAAATGGGAACTTTTACGCCTTTAGTCTTTGGAACGAATGGAGGAGTTGGAGACGAATGCCAGAAATTCTTAAAGCATCTTGCCGAGAAATTGTCGAGGAAAAACGGAGAAGATTACGCAACAGTTATTACCTGGATCAGAACAAGATTGTCTTTCGAAATATTGAAATCCGTGCATTTGTGCACGAGAGGATCCAGATCGCCATTTCGTGCGAAAGATGAACATATAGACGAGTTCAAATTAAACTCTGTTACAGCAGAGGTTTTTTAAGTAATTGCGCAATTTAAAGGCGTTAACGCTGGACTTGTACATTTTATGAATTACGTTCTAAATTATGAATTATCAAGAACTATTTTTAGATCTTTTAACTGCAATGAGTTTTAAATGTAAAATGTTCCGAAATTAACTTCTTCTTTTGTAATTATTACATGTTATACTGTAAAATTCTACAATATTGTTAAAAATTTTTAGAAGCTATTAAATTGTTATATTAAAAATGTTACCAGATGTGGGAGATAGGGAAACATTTGAGCAAACATTGAAAATCACGAATATTTCCGCGACAATGTTTCTTACGTTTGGCCAAGGGCAAGGCTTTAGTTTAGCGAAATATTTAAATTTGTTCCTTGATCGTGTGAATCGTATGTATATTTATATATTCTCCGTCCTGTTTGATACAGGTGAGTTTTTACGTCGTACAAATTTGTATTGAATTAGGATGTTAATAAGTAGAATTAAACGTTAAGGTTAAAACGGTATTTTGAAACAATAGCCAATGAATTGAAGTGATTTAGCATACGAGCAAGCAAAATGTACAATGTATTTTAAACAATATTTAATGTGTGTGTATTTATTCGTTATTATTACAAGGTTTGATCTTTATTCCGTGATTTTATTTTGTTGTTTTTACGGGGGAAATTGGGGAAAACCCACAGGGAAAATCCATTTCTCGCGCGTGCGCAGTGCGAGTTTGACTGACTTGCGCATGCGTATTTCCTACCAAAACAATGGGTGGTTCGGATTCTGATAAAGTAAGTTTTTATCTATTGATACATGTGAAAATTACGTAGTTCCACGAGCGGTGCAACGGAATTGCATCTTTTGGATGCTCATCCTACGGCCTACTGGGGGACCCCACATTTTAATTTTCCAACAGAGGATAGTATCCCATTAGCTACGCATTGTTGTTCCCTATTCGTTAGGTATGATTCAAACCAGAGTAATTCATTGGCGCTAATGCCAAAGTTGGATCTCATTTTACTTAATAAAATATTATGATTTATTGAATCAAAAGCTTTCCGTATGTCTAAAATTTTCCCCTCGTCCATGTTATTTAAGATTTCGTCACATATTTTAATGAAGGCTGATAAGGTTGAGTGTTGTGGCCGAAAGCCAGACTGATACTTTGAGAATTTCAGTTTTATGGCCTTTTTCTTATGGTAGTCTCTTCTCATAGCTGACCTTATTTCCGCTGTCATCCACGGAGTGGTGTATTTCCCTGATCTTATATGTCTAACAGGAGCATGTTTATCTAGTGTTCCGATAAATAGTTCCTTCCACTTATTCCAACTCAAGTTTGGATCATTTGTTGTGAAAATAGTTTGCCAAGGAATATTGGTTAGGTCGGATATAAATTCTGTTTCAGAAAAGTGTTTAAAATTACGAACTTTTTTAATAGTTGGCCTGCGTTTAAGTGGTTTAAATTTGTGAACTGCATATATGTGGCTGTGATCTGATATACCAACGTGAATGACGCCAGCATGAGATATTTTTCAGGAACAATTGTCATGCAGAATAACGTCAATTATAGTACCAGACGTTCTCGCAACCCTGGTTGGTTCTTCTATTAACTGAGCCATGTTATATAATGTATTTATAGATTGAAATCTAATCGTATGCGCTTCTGGTGGGGATTTAGCAACATCACAGTTTATATCTCCTAATAGAATTAGTTCTACTGTTTTCATCATCACAATTAAGAAAAAAAATATCGTATGCATCAAATAGATCCGTACTTGAATTAGGTGGTCTATACCATGTACTAACTAGAAATGACCTGTGAAAGGTTGATTAATTTCGATACAGATCATTTCCAGATTATTTGGAACTAAGTCATTTCTAACCAAAATGGAGAGGTGTTCTTGAACATATATTACAACACCACCTCCATTTCTATTTTTATCTCTTCGAACTAGTTTATAACCTGGTATACTTATTTCAGAGTCATTTACTAATGAATCAATTTTCGATTCGTTAATAGCAAAGATGTAAAGGAATACTGTGATAAAATATAACGAATATGTTCGATATTTTTTAATAGACTATTGATATTTTGACTACCAAGTTTAACAGCGATAACACGTACAAAACAAGACGGGAGGTTGACAACCTTCAGAATACTTAACACCAACACCGCGGAAAAGCGTTTGCGCATGCGTCAACCTTACTGGAATTTGCCCTTGAGAACGTGGTGTCAACTGTCAAGTATTCTGAGGTTCGATTCCCACCGTGGCCGGGCATATTTTTCAAGCTCGCCCTTCGCCCAGTGTAGATACACTCAGAGTAACATCACAAACATCATATTCACCTGAGTACACAACACCAACACAGAAAAAAGTATTCTGAAGGTTGTCAAAAAACTCAAAATGGAAGCGACAAGGAGCGACTTCGATGTTTTGCTTTTTCTGTGAAAATGCAAGCGAAATAATGAATGTGACAACCTAAAAACTAGAAATAATTACAGTCTACATGTGCAAGAAGTAGTATTATGGCATGCAAGAAGATGAACCAAAGGTGACTGTCGATAAATTTATTGTATAAAAAGTTCTTTAATTGAACGATACAAAGATATTTTTTGTAGGTTCGTCATGATCCATATTTTTCTCACTAACCTTGCGTAGCATGTATAATTTTTGCGTTGACTATATTTAAAGGTAATGAATTGAAGCGTGTGCAAATGCTTAACGCTTTGATAGTTTGCTTAAACTTTTGTTAAAAGTTCGGTATTCGACAATTTTTCAAGAAATTTTCACACGCCTTCCAGTCTGAAAGTGAAACGATAATTTATAATTGAAATCTATTGATACACTATACATTATTACAAATTGAAAATCTATTAATACACTATACATTATTACATTACACATGGACATAATTATATGATACAAAAAGTAAGGGACTAGCTAGAAGTTCATTAAATCAAGATTCGACCAACCCTTGTTTCTAGAACGGGCCTTATCTGAGTTCAAATGTTCCAACATTTGTATAAAAGCTGAAGATTCTTTTTCAAAAACACCGATTGCACTGATTGAGAGGTTAATTATGAACTTTACCGGCTGGAATTTTTTCTTTTGTTCTATGATCATCTCTTTATATTTTGAGTATTTGCGCTGTATATTATTCCTTAGGTTAGTCTCATATCCAACGGTTAATTCGAGTACATACAGACAATTGTCTTTGGTCAAAATTAGTAGATCAGGACGATAGTCATCACTAGTAATAATAGAGGGATTGGACAATGATGGTAAGTCAGCATAAATGGTCTGAATATGTTCTGATGGGAGGTTATTAGCAATAAAATTTAGGATTGAGTCTTGTCTCCAAGTAAATCGATCAAGATAGGAACCACAGCCAGCAACAACGTGTAACAGAGATTCAGGTTTAAGGCAAAACGAACACTCACAGGTCGAGGAGAGTCAATAGTGATAATAATAATAATAAATTCCTCGCCATTTTTTCTAGTACGAAGAAATTTTTTGCCATTCAAAAATTTACAATGAGAGAAAAAAAATATAATGTAACACAAATTATGGCAAAAAGCCAACTAAAATAGTCTCAGAAAGAGACTGGCCTGGTTAGTTGGCTTTCTATGTTTGTTATTCAAGAATCAAACGACTAGAAAGAGTAGATACAATAGGATGGAAATGAACTTTCTGAAATATGCTACAAATCTTAGATTAAATTGCTACTCCTATAAGTATGATGGAAATGTTGCAAACAATAAATTAATTGCTTGTATACATGTCGAAGGTATTATGAATCAACTATTTTTTAAATCCTGTTTTCATCAATCGAGTTCCAAATGCTTGCCCCGACATATCTAATACTAGAAAATACATGCATGCAGAAACCCTCGCCTTGCTGACAAAACCATTGTAGCTATTTTCCGAACATGAAGTATTTAAAGTAGTTGTCATGGCAACACGATAATTTCATTAAGAATATTTTTACAATTGAAATATTTCCCCTAAAAATATCACTTTTAATTACAAAATTATCAATTTCCCAAACATATATATGTTAGGTATGTTATTATACGTAATAAAGCTTAAATTTAATGTAAAATTCAATCACAAACGCTTCGCAAAACGTTTTTATGACTAAACTTTTATTAGCATAAAAGACTGAAGATTCGTCGTGCACGTGTCTGAAACGAGAAAAGGTGTCCAAAATACCAAAGTTTTTTGCGTGAAAAGCCAAAAGTTCGTGCTTAAATGTATTCAGTGAACCAGACCTAACAGAAATAAAATGGGAAGAATACAAATTACTACCGTCTAAAGTTGATCAGTTTCGGCTGACATTGTACTTGTTATATTATTTATACAAAAAAATTGATGATAAGATTTTCTTCATCGTATTATTTCTCGTTTAGAATTCTATAAAACCACAAGCAACTTGTCAAAATGAAACTGCGATGATTTTTAATATTCATGACATGAAGCCATCATGGACGTCTTCCTAGTGATGCTCCACAAGAGGTAATCGACTTTTTTTCCAATAGCGAAATGTTGAAATCGGAACATGCTGGTCATATTCAGCAAATTTTCTCCCAGTACCGCAGGTTCGCATTTTCAGCGGACTTGCACAGAACTGCCCACTTTCTGTAAGATGTCCGCTAACAATACGAGCCCGCACGAGTGGGAGAAATTTTGCTAAATTTGACCAACGTGGAATGCCTCATTACTCGCTGGGGCACTCTGTGCCCCCCAGACGAGTATAGGTTTCGGCTCGCATTTTTCCAACATGAGCTCCACCTTTGAATTTACTATATGAGTAAATTCTTTTAAACACGTCCGAATTTATCATCATGATAAATTCGCGGCACATTTTTAATTTTTCAATAGAGTTAATCATGAAACCACAAGCATTACACAAGGTTTCTTGTTATAAATCTAATGGCACTAAAAGAGAGGCTGGTCGGGCGGTTAGTTTTTCAAGTTTTCTAAAAGAATAGTTTTTAAAAAAGTTTTAAAAGAGTTTTGAAAAGCAAGAAAAGTTTAAAAAGTTATATTTCTAAAAAAGTTAAAAAATTTTAAAAAGTTAAAAAAGTTAGGGTTAGGGGTTAGTGGTTAGGGTTGGGGTTAGGGTTAGTGTTAGATGCCGCGAATTTATTATTATATTCTAGCGATTTATGCCCTTTGAAAATGAAGCGAAATTGTATTGTTGAAAAATCGCTCGCAGTACGTATTGTTGATCACAAGTCACTCGCACTACGTTTGTCCACAGGTTTGTCCTTGTATTTGTAATGCCTATTAATGGCGCAATAACGATAAAATACCACCGTTCGATTCAGCGTAAGAAATTGTACTTACGGATGTCAAATGTGTTACTATTAAAGCACCAGTATTCTAGCGATTTAGGGAGCGGTCATAAAGTAAGTGCTACCCCGGGGCGGAGGATATTTTTAATTTTGTGAAAAAAATTTCATACCCCACAAAATGTCCAAAATTGTCGGATAATATTTGGTACCCCATCAAGATCGGTCTCAATGTTTCATACCCCATCATAAAACGATAAGCTTACCGGGGTTTATTCATGTTGATATGACCTGGGGTGTGCTGATAGGGCTCATAAATTCTGTTGACTAATTGTCGTTATCCTATAAGTTTTATTTTTTGTAAGTTTTATCTTTCTTTAACTTAAAAATAACAAAAAATTCAAATCCAAAGTGCTGTTTTTTGGCCCCATTGAATACGACCGCCTGTCAAAAAATGGCGAATATTGCTTATATTTTACCTATTTTGGTTATTTTATGTAAAGAGATAAAAAAAAATTTTGGATGTGATATTTTTGGGTCTAATACATTCAAAAGACGTACTTTTATGTTATGGCATACCTCAGATGTCCATAAACACCACCATCTTTCTTTACAAGCTGGCATTTCTGTACCATATGAAAAGACATACAACTGAAACTGATCTGTCTCCCCATATAAAGAATCCAAATCATTTTTAACATCACTGATTGAGTGATTTCACCATCATCACTGTGACACTGTCATTGTTGTCATATTGTTCCATAAATCGCATAATATTTGCAACTGCGCATTCTGCTGAAACTCTAGCTCTTTTTGGTGGCATAACTTATTTAGTATAAACCGAAGAAACAATGAAGTCGATCAAGAAAAGTTTGTAGAAAAAATATGAAATGGCGACCATGTTTTTTATACCAGGCCAATATACTATGTGTTACATGAAGTGTAACGCAGGTGGGCTACGAGCCTGCAGTATAGTTTTGAAAACACAATATTTATACTAAATTGGTTTCATATTCTACAATATATTATGGTTCCTAAATGTTTGGTGTTTGCTCAACCTTGAAGGTAGAAAGAAATATGTGTATTTGTATATATAAAAATATTATAAATAAGTATTTTATATTATATAAGTATTTTATAATATACTATATTATATATTATACTATATTTTACTATTTTATATAATATATTATGGATATTTTACTTTGCAAATCATGTGTAATAATCCATCTTTATATGTTCTCTAATTATATTATGTTATTTATGTCTTTGGAAGTGATTCAGCCAAAAAATACTGTCCAACCCACATTTTCCCATTTTTGGCCCCGACACCTTGTTTGACAAATGTCGTCAAACGTCCGGATAACTTTGAATTTTTAGAAAAGCAAATCGGTTCATTTGTTCAGGAATGACGGATAAATATTTATTTGGGTGCGCTCATTGTGCGCACCCCCGGTACAAATAGAGTTAAAAATTATTACACTGTGTATTAAATATACAGTACAATAGTCTCTTACAGCCATTCCTTGAATAATATTTGTCATCATGTACTCCTCCACACAAGCTCATGAAGAGGAATAAAATCACAACACAAAAAGCAGCTGCAAGGGAGACTACTTGAGCAACGGTCAAATCTTTTATGAGACAATGATGGCAGTGATGTATGAAAAATTATTTGGACCATGAACAGAGCCGTAATATTAAACTGTATTAACGCAATTTTTGTATTGAAACAAACAAATTTTGTTTCATACCACCTCTTTAAAGTGATAAATTTATTTCATACCCCATCCAGATCCCTGAAAAAAATTTCATACCCCATCCCAATATCCTCCACCCCGGGGTAGCACTTACTTTATGACCGCTCCCTTAAATCCATGAAGTAATGACGGCACAAGAGAAAATTTAGCACGGAGAAAATTTACCACATTTGGCTATGCAAATTTACTATGTTATTTCGTCTTAAGGTCCATACAGACCGGACGCGATTCAGTCTGTGTGGGCCTTAAGGCTTAGGTATAGCATTTTAATTCTAGAATTTTCTTGTTTAAACTTTCATACTGTTGTTTATGTTGCCACGCGACAAAAAATAGCAAGACATTTTTAAAAACAGTTCAGTTAAAACATATTTTAATTTGCTTATTTTGCACTTCAAAAATAAAAACAACCTTACCTTACGTCGGCACGAATGCCATCGAATCGCGTCGTATATAATGTCAACAGAATTTATCAAGTTGGCGCAAATTTAAACCGGATGTAAATTATTAAACGAATTAAAAGTAGAGCTTTATACATGTTAAATATTAAAATCTTTTCTTTTTGTTAACAAAATAAGTTAATTTCACGTAGTATCGATTTCTTGTTGCATCTCAAATTTTGGATTTCCAATTGCATGCAGTCACTAATTAAAATAAGATTTTTCGCGAACCAGCCATTTAAAATTAAATTTAAAACTAAGCCGCCATTGGAAAGCTGAATGGCCAAGCTTTAGTGCGGTTTTCTTCTTCTGACGCATGTGAACGAGTGGATGAATTATGAATGTTAGAATGAGTGTATAAACAGAAACATATTTTTTCTGTGTTAGTGTTGTGTACTCAGGTGAATATGATGTTTGTGCATGATGTTACTCTGAGTGTATATCCACACCGCGGGCGAGCTTGAAAAATATGCCCGGTCACTGTGCATGGAATCGAACCTACGACCTTTAGAATACTAGCCCAATGCTCTGCCAACTGAGCTACGCGGTCAGGTCGGTTCGAGTAAGTGATATTCGGATCAGAATCTAGTTCCTTCGATACCAATGTTACTAGATTACATTGGTATCGAAAGAACTATATTCTGTTCCTAAATATCACTTACTCGAACCGACCTGACCGCGTAGCTCAGTTGGCAGAGCATTGGGCTAGTATTCCAAAGGTCGTAGGTTCGATTCCCACCGTGGCCGGGCATATTTTAAAAGCTCGCCCGATGTGGATATACACTCAGAGTAACATCACAAACATCAGAAACATATTATTCTCTTCGAAAGTTAAATTTTAATCGAGGATTCCGTTTTCTATACACCCTGGCTTAGTAAAGAAAAATAATTGGACATTATTGTCGGCGATGCAGCCAATTATCATGTTATCAAATTATAAAATATTAGCCATGCATATTTTTTCCTTATTTTATTCACTAAACGGCGGATAAAACCTTTTGAACTGTTTGCCTTTATACGATCTTAGTCTAAGCTCGAAGGTTAAGTTCTGAAATATCATCTACTCGAATTGACTTGACCTGATAGCTCAGTTGGTAGAGCGTTGGACTATAGCAAGCCAAAGGAAAACGTCGCGGGTTTTGATTCCCATCGCTGTCAAGCAATTTTTCAGCTTGTCCATGCAGTGTGCAGAAAATTAAACACCTGAGTTCAACACACAAGCACCAGTCAATCAATGTATTGTGGTAAAACATTTCCAAATCTACACATGTACATGCATGTGCATGTATACAGCTATTTCAATTAAGGTTGTCCGCGAGGAAAGCGGAAAAGTCGAATACGAACGCGAAAGGCTGCTGGGAATCGCTAACAAGTTAATGAATTTTCAAAGCGATCGATTCCCAGCAGCCTTTCGCTCTCGTACAAGGCATTTTTAAGAAATTACAACTACTGGGGCTTAGTCTCAATGAGGGCCTTTTCCCTAACACAGTTTACTACGGGTACATAAAAATCACTCTGTGCTCTGGGGCAGCGCTAGCGCTATTTGAATATTGAATAGTGAATAGAGGGGGGGGAGGGGGTGAAAGTGAAATATTGCTTACTAATTTCAAACGTTAATTAGTATTTCTTTTCATCCAACTGGTATTAGATACAGTAATTTGCCGACTACCGACCTGACGATTGGGGGTATTCCACACCCACAACCCACTTTTACCACCGCCCCTGCCTGTGCTGACTTTTATAAGAGGGAATTAATGTCGAGAATGTGAGAGGATATGAGAAAGCAGGCAGATGCAGCATTTTCAACAAGGTTAACCTTTTGCTAATGATCAAAAGGGCCCAGTTCATCTGAAAATCATGCTTCACTACTGGGGCAAGCAAATGGCCTACTGGGGTAAATGCCCAAGTAGTTATATAGTTAAAAAACGCCCTGCGCTCGTATTCGACTTTTCCGCTTCGCTCGTGGACAACCTTAATTGAAATAGCTGTATATTATAGAAGTATTATAGGGAATGAATTAGATTTTGCTTTGGCGGCTAAAAAGTGTAATTAATTTAATTTCAAATGTTGAAAATAAACAAAAGTAGAAAGTGAACAGGTGGTTAATAGCGAGACCTAGCTGTGGTGGTGAACTTTAAAGAGTTTCACAATCGACCTTCGACTAACATTGAAAAGTACACGAACGTGCAGAACCGATCGAAGGGGGGGGGGGATGTAGCCGTCAAACGGACGTAATTTATTATGGATTATATTACAAATGCGCAAAATGTGAGAGAAACGCGTCGCTCTGTATCCACAGGTCTACTGCCTTTAATTTTTCACCTGCTGAACTAAAATATATCCGAATCCAGCAGTCAGTCTATGGCCATTATTGTGACTACACTGCAATATTGCCACATGCAAAAGCAGTGTAAGTATGAATCGGCCTGTGGGCAACGGTCGTCGTTATTCGCGTCTAATATCCAATACATACTTGAAATTGATGATATGCAATGCTGAAACCTTTTCATGCTATTTGTCCAGCGGTTGATTTTCCATATTATCCGTCTGCGATCAAACTGTACAGCGAACTTTAACTAGGAATCCTGGTTAAATTTTCCTGGATTGTGGCAAGCTAACCAGGGTTGTGTTAAACTAACCGTTAAACTAACTAGAAAATTTAACCACGCAGGGACATTAAGTTACCCCAAACAAGGTTAATGTTTGAGTTGAATGACTTTGTAGATGGATATTATCGAGTGGGCAAATCATTAAAATAAAAATAAAAAAACATCTGTCATGGCTAGCTTTGCCATTGATCTGCATGCAGTTTTGATGAAAAGTCTTGACCAAATTAGGGGGGGGGGGGGGGTATGTGCCTCGACACAATGCAAGCAAGTTATATGTTTAGGTAGCTTTACGCGTTATCACTAATATTTACTATTTCTAAATCTACTTTATATATACACTGTATTCACTTACTGAACTAAAATATATCCAAATGCCGCAGTCAGTTTATGGCCATTATCATTACTACTACACTGCGCAATATTACCACATGTAATGTGAGATGTTATTTGACAAGCAGTGTAAGTAATACCAAATCCAATACATGAATCTGCTTGTGTGCAACGGTTGTCGTTATTCGCGTAATATCCAATACGTACTTTAAGATGTTGATTATATGCAATGCTGAAACCTTCTTCATTGCAATTTGGTTGTAAAGACGAGCCCGCGATTACAGATTTCCATGCAGGTCGTCCTGCGGATGTGTTTCGGTATTTTTCGTCTGCAATCAAACTGTACAGCGAACTTGCTTCGTAATCTAACACCATCCATTTTCTGTCGCCATTAACGGTCATACCAAGACATATTTTTTTAAAAGGAATGTTCCAATAAGATGCCAGTTTGCTTTCTTTCTCTGTTAGTCCTTCAAGTCCATCTTCAACTGCATAACTTTCATTGTTCGTCCACAATGGGGAATCATACGTAAATGTACTCTGTGTAATCAAGAAATAGAGAACAAGTAACGTTTACCAGAGCGAAAACGGAATGGGAAAACATGAGGTTCGACTATCAAGTAGTTTCTGATTTTAATTATCTAAATATAAGCCATTTTGTAGAGAGCTGTAAAATAATGTTCAGTCCGTTAGGACTTTTCAAAAATCTACAGCGAAAGCTTTTAAAACAATTATATTCCTAAACTCTTAAATATTAATTAACTGGAGTGCACACGGAGTATTTATCATGTAGTTTTACTCTGCCTGGCAAAGAAAGGCAAACTTTTGCTAATTTTTCATACAATTTTCATCCAAATTTAACCTAAATTTAATCAAGTCCTATATTAATTAAGCAAAACGCGAAGGAAATCAACGCGTGCAGGTGTCCTCCCGCAGGAAGACTGCACGGCAAAGGATGGTTTATACTGCATAAGGTTATTACAGTTTATACTGCATGGCATTTGGGAAAAAGATGTGGAACTGATGAGCGAACAGTATGAATTTAGTTAAGGTTATATGCCTCGTGACAGTAAACGAACAAGAAACGAACATGGACATCTAAGGAAAGCATTTAAGAAATTTCCAGTTAATAGCACAAAATTAGTTTACTGCCATTGTCATTGATCTTTTTCAATATATGGTGTTACATTTTCAATATATTGGATTACCTGTCATCATCAAGTAATAACACCAAAATTGTTGTAGAAACAGCTAGGGTTCGGTAGCAGTCTTTGAAAGGCTTTACATTTTTTGTAGATCTTTTTTAAATTGTATGAAAAAGTGCTTACAATAGAAAGATGCACAAATTTATCATCGGAAACCAGTCCAAGATTTTCTGACGTTGTACTGTTGTTGAGTTGACATAAACCTTGATCCACTCCGCTAGCTTTGTAATTCACTGAAAAGCACGCGTCGAGCCTTGTACAATGCATGGAACACTCTAATTCACTTTCTGCATGTTTCGTTGTGATCACACTATCTGGTAAATATTGTCCAGTTTCTCTTTTAAATATGGCATGTTTCATAGTAACACCGTACCCGATGAAGGCAAAAAGCTGAACGTACGCTAGCATCGTTTTAAATAGAAACATGTTAATTTTGTCCAAATCAATTGCAAAATTCAGTTCAGTAGCTGGTGTGCAATGATAATGCTTTATTGAAACAACTGTTGATATACACTAGTTGACGGCTCGTACATAAGCAGTCAATTTGTTTGTTAAAATGAGCAGCTGCTTATTGCAAATTGCATCTTGATAATATATATATACATAACATACATATAGCATTTGTAAATTCGAAACGTGGATTGGCCAAAATCCGTGCTGACATAACTCAATGTCAAGCCGAAGAATTTCTTTCTTTCTATTTCTTTGTGCTATATTGTATGTAATATTTCAAATCTGACTGTGGGGACTGGACTAGATTTCAAGTCCGCACAATTTGGAGGATTTGAAATGACATACGAATAAATCACATTCTCGTACCCAGAGCCCTTCTTTCGTTTTAACTTAGTTTTTTAACTTCCTTTATACAGTTCTTATTGTACTACACTTTGATGTCTTGTTAAAATGATGAATGTTTTATTGCACCAATATATACCCAAATGCTGGGATGTCTACAATACGATCTGCTCCGCATGGGCCCAC